ACTTATATCTAGAATACATAAAAAAAAAACTCTTAAAATTATATAATAAAAAAAACAAATAATCCAATTCAACAATGAGTTAGGAGATGAAGAAGAGACACTTCACCAAAGAGTATATATAGATAGCAAATGCCAATGTCTTCCAAACCAAAGAATACTAGGAATACACCTGTAGTTGAACAAGCTGTGTTCATTACTTCTTACAGCAAAGGAGAATGTATACCATGGGAAACTATGGGGAGTCATATTAAGAGGATATTAAAGGGTCTAAATAGGAAGATGTTTACTCTAGATTGGGTGCTGTCAGAAAGTAGGGGCAACTCTGATTGGGTATCATAATAAATCTCATCTACAGGGAAGGCAGATTTACAACAAAGATAAAGCTGTAATTGGTAAAGAAGTAGTAGTTACTTATGGTATCTGAGTAAGGGGGATGTTTGGTATTTTATGGGTCACAGTGACCTTGTTTTTGTCTGTGCTTAGACAAAGTTATGAAGTGGACTTGCTATGTCTCACTTTATCATAGTCCCAGAGTGAATGTCTGACATTGGTTTTCCTTGAGATTATGTTCAACAGGAAAATAGCATGGCCTAGCTATGAGCACCAGGCAAGCTTCTAACAACACTGAGGCCTAACTGTATTAAGCCAGTTTCTGGAAGTCAGAGAATGCTTTTATGTTATTGTTGTTGTTGTTCGTTCCTTCATTCTCCCTTTTGTCCAAGGACAGATGACATCAGACCACAGAACTTTAATCCATGATAACTGGATTTTCACTAAGATTTTGTTGATCAAGTTCAGAAATGTATAGATTAAACATAGTCTATAGTTGAACAAGAGTTCACCCTTTTTTCTCCTTTTGTTGTAGGATGAGTTATTGAACCATCTGATATGACAATGGCTATGCAGCAGCATTTAAGACTCTGGACAGGATACACCAGCCAAATTCTAACAGGCAATTATCAGAAACAAAATGATTATTGGTCCTTGTAACAAATCTCAAAGCCACGAGCTAAAATTCTAAAACCCAGGCAATTAAATCATGTCCCAGAGTCTAGCTGGGTCTGTTTTAGACCTAGCTTTTTTTTTTATGCTAGTGACAGACAGTTCTACCTGTCCTGTAGTACTTATATAGGTATAACAAGAACGTTTTACTATAGTATAAATTTTCCATTAGCTAGCCAAGAAGAAATCAAGGACTATGACAAATCCAGGTGATGAATTATAGTAGTTTTTTTTTTAATTTTTTTTCTTTATTGATTTTAGAGAGAGAAGAAGGGAGAGAAAGATAAAAACATCAATGAGAAAGAACATCCATTGGCCGCTTCCTTCATGCCCCCAAACTGGTGACCTCTTGGTGCATGGGTCAATGCTCAACCACTGAGCCACACCAGTAGGGCTATACTAGTTTTTAAAATTATCATTATTGTAAAGCATGGATGGTAGTTGTAAATATCTGAAAATCTCTAACAATTACTCCAAATACACAGAATAAGTCAGTATGCAGTAGATGGATAAGCCTGGTAGCTACATAAGCAGTATCTTAGTGAAGCACAGATTATATAGGGAGTATAAGTATCATTTATTGCCATAGAAGTGCATCCATTTTTTTGTCCAAGTAGATTTTCTTTGGGTGAGGATGAAAATGTTCTAGAATGCATGGTGTAATTGCTGCACAACTCTGTGAATAGACTAAAGCTATTCCTTAACTGTACACCGTTAAGTTGGCAAATTGTATGGCATGTGAATTATATATAAATAAAGCTGTTATTTTAGAATAACAATGAGGTGCTGTATAGGTATTGATATGGATGTCCTACGGCTATAGGCAGTTCAGAGAAGTATTATTGGAAACAAAACAGAAAGAGTAATAATATCCTCCTGTATCATGGGGCCAAAAGAAACATTTCATTGCAATTTTCTTATTAAACATATGCAATAGATGATAGCTGTCTTATTGTATTTACATTCTCCTTTTTTAAAGTCTTATATTTATGCATGTTAAAGATAGACAATATATGTGCTACAAACTTTAAATATCCAAGAGTTAAAATAAAATTTCTATGACAGAGAAAACTATAAAAAAATGTTATATTTTCTCACACATATTATTTAATTAGTCCTAAAATTAAATATTACTAACTGCCACTGTTAACTAGTCCTATTGTTTTGTTTTAAATAATAGCATGTCTGTAACAGAAAAATAAATACAGAAAAAAAAATTTAAAATGAATATCTATTTTTATATTAAAGCAGTAACACACATGTGCACAATTATTTATTATATATTATGGGTCTTTCATCTAGTACAGTTGTATCCTGGGTTGCTTTCTAGAGGTTAGTCATCTCAATGGTTTAGTACCATTTGGGTGGGGGAACAAGGTATAAAGAAAATATTTGTAAATTACAGACAAGAAACGTAAACAATGGTACCTTTTGTGAAAAAAGAAATGAGTGGCTGGAACAAGCCAAAGAGGTTTTCTTTTTCTTGTTTTTTTAATATCTATTTTTTTATTAAATCTTTATTGTTGAGAGTATTACAGATGTCCCCCCTTTTTCCCCCATTGCCCCCCTCATCCCAGTTCCTGTCCTGCCCCGGGCCTTCACCTCACTATTGACTGTGTCCATATATGCATGTAAATCCCTTGGTTAATCTCTACCCCTCCCACTTCTCTCTGAGGTTTGTCGGTCTGTTCCATGTTTCCATGCCTCTGTTTCTATTTCATTCATCAATTTACTTTATTCATTAGATTCATTAGATTTAATATGCATTTTTAAATTTTTGTACCTTGTGCATATACTACGTATTCAAAAGGGAGAAAATTATTATCCGTCTTATATAAAGGTTGCCTGCGATGAGCTGGGAGAGGCGCTTGCAGAGCATAGATATGAAGGTTCCCACTGGAAACAATGTGCTAAGAATATAAGGTTCTTGGGGAACCTGCCCAAAGTTCAAGATGGATGCCTGGTAGATGATCATTTCAGACAAGTCCAATGAGGTAAGCTTGTGCCGAAAACTGAAGGGCCCGCTAAGCCTCAGATATCAGGCCCTGGCCAGTTTGGCTCAGCGGTTAGAGCGTTGGCCCACGGACCAGAGAGACCTGGGTTTGATTCCCGCTAAGGGCACATACCTCAGTTGCAGTTTGTCCCCCCCGCCCCAGGCCATGTGGGTGGCAACCAGTTGATGTTTCTCCCTCTCTCCCTCCTGCTCTATCTGAAGATAAATGCAAAAATGTCTTCAGGTGAGAATGACAAAAAATAAAGGGAATCAGTATGAATTTTTGTGCATGAGGAAAGCCATTGGAGGGTTTTAAGGAAAGGAATAGAGCCCTAGCTGGTTTTGCTCAGTGGTTAGAGCGTCAGCCTGCGGTCCAGAGAGACCCGGGTTTGGTTCCCGCTAAGGGCACGTACCTCAGTTGCAGTTTGTCCCCGGCCGTGGTTGGGTCGTGCGGGTGGCAGCCACTCGATGTGTCCCTTTCACGTCAATGTTTCTCTCTCTCTCTCTCTCTCTCTCTCTCTCTCTCCCTCCCTCCCACTCTATCTGAACGAAAAATTGTCCTCGGGTGAGGATTAAAAATAAAAAGGAAAGGAATAGAATTATCTCCTGTATGACTGAGAGATCCCTCTGGCTGTGTGGAGAATGAGAGGCACAATTTTGGGGGACATATTTCTGTAGTCTTGATAGGGAGGCTGTTGGCTTGGACTGTTAGCATGGTAACGCTGGATGGAGATACCAAGACACAGATAGTCTTTGGGAGGTTGCCCTGACAGGACTTGTTGCTAGACTGACTGTGGGTTGGGGGTGGGGGGGGAGCATATAGCATGGCTGACTGCTGGGTCAGAGTACCTTTTCCTGGATGGGAAACTCTAGGGCATTGGCGGACTGTGGAGGAGTAAGAAAGAGTTCTCTTTGGAACACTTGTAAGCCAGAGCTGCTTAACTGATGCACGTTTTTAAGTCATTCAGACTGCTCTGTGGAGAGTGGGGTGGGGAGGGCATCTGGAAGGCAAGTGCGGGCTCTGCGTGGGCCTCAGCAGGGACAGAGAAAAGTATTCAGGGCCAAGGAGCAAGGCTGGAGGGGTTCCAGTGGGTAATTCTGCAGGTGGTCAAAGGCTTTAGCTTCTCATCAGTGTAAAATGGGCAACCATGACAGGGCTTTAAGTGTGACCAGAGCTGACCAAAGGCCTGCTGTATGGAGAACAGGCTATAGAGGTGAGTTGTCAAATTTTGCAAATAAAAACTCAAAAGCCCTGCTAAATTTGAATGTCACATCAACAACACATCATTTTTTTGTAGAAGGTATAGCCTGTGTAATAGTTGGGATGTACTCATGCTAAAAAGGTAGTTGTGTTGCCCTGGCTGGTCTTCTCAGTGGTTAAAGTGTTGGCCTGTTGACCAGAGAAACCCAGGTTCGGTTCCTGCTAAGGGCATGTACCTGGGCTGAGGTTTGTCCCTGGCCCGTTGGGGTCGTGTGGGTGGCAACCACTCGATGTTTCTCTCACAACGATGTTTCTCTCTCTCTCCCTCCCTCTCTCCCTCCCGCTCTATCTGAAGATGAATGCAAAAATATCCTCAGGTGAGGATTAAAAAAATTAAAAATAAAAATGTAGTTGCTAATCTGGTATTGAAATTTAACTGGCGTCCTGCTTTTGATCTGGCAGGTGGGGGCAGAGCCCCTGCAGGGAGGGATTCCAGGGAAACTGAGGGGCCAAAGTGGCAGCAGGAGAGGTGTGAGGAGAGACCCCAGAAAAGACAAGAGCGGCCCCCTCGGTGCACTTTCGCTGAGAACAACCCTGGGAAGAGGAGCTGCTCGGCTCGGCCAGGTGCTGGCCTGGGGCTCCTGGGGCAGTTTCCCGCGCACCTGCCCGGCCTACCTGTCCCCGTTCTCCCGCGGGCAGTGGCAGCAGCTGGAGGGGCGGCCGGCAGGGCACCGAGGTGACCCCGCCCCTCGCGCCCGAGGGGTGGAGCCTGAGGCGGAGCCGGCGAGCAGCCCTCTGTCCCCGGGTGACGAGCGGCCGGAGAACATGGAGTCGGGCAAGATGGCGCCTCCCAAGAACGCGCCGAGAGACGCCTTGGTGAGTGCGAGGGATGGGAGGCGGGGCGCACAGCCCGGCGCGGCCGGGACCCGGGGGGCAGGCCCAGGCGCAGGGGCTGCCGCGGTCCCGCGTGCCGGCCTCAGCGCAACCTGGGCGGCCGGGAGGGGCGGGATGGGGTGTCTGGCTCCGGGGCGCCCTCCCGCCGTCCCCGCAGCCCCGCCGGACCGCGCAGGCCGGCGCCCGGCTTTGTCTCCGGACCTCGGGTCCCCGCCGCCTCGTCGTGTCGCCGGGTCTGCGAGCCCTGCTCTCGCGTCCGCAGTGATGCTCGCCGGCTTCCCCGTCGCCGCAGCCGAAAATGACAACCAGCTGTGGCCGCCCCTCCCTCCGCTGGGAAGCCAACCCGGCGCTTCTCTTCCCTTCGCCCCCACCTCCCGCCAAAAGATAAAATAAAAGTTTTCAGCAAAGCGGGTACCACGGTATTCGGTGTGTTCCCGACACTGACTTGGGCAGAAAAGGATGAGTACACGTTTAAAGCTCAGAGAAGGGAGACCTGGTATCTTAAGTATAAACACCACCTTGGGTCCAGGGTTGAGTCCTAATACCTACATTATGCACCAGGAGCTTCTTATTTGAATCCACAGGTGATGGCACAGATCCTGAAGGACATGGGAATTACAGAGTACGAACCGAGAGTTATAAACCAAATGTTGGAATTTGCTTTCCGTAAGTTAACAAGACACGAAAAATGTGCCTAATTTGGGAATTTGAAAAGATTGTTTTATTGTAAGAACACTTTCAACTAAATTACTTGAACAGTTAATATCATCGAATTGAGCCTAAAACTGTGAAAAGGAGCTCAAGATAGGGGAAAATAGTATTTATACTGTGATATTTTCTTTTAATTGATCAGATAGAACAATTAGATATTAAAAACAAAATGCATCAACTTTCTAGAAATTAGTGGAATCTTCCATTAAGAAAAGCCATAAATATTAAGCTGTTTTCATGTGGTGAAGAAAATGTTTTGTTCTTAAAGGATATGTGACTACAATTCTGGATGATGCAAAAATTTATTCGAGCCATGCTAAGAAACCTAATGTCGATGCAGATGATGTGAGACTGGCAATCCAGTGTCGCGCTGATCAATCTTTTACCTCTCCTCCCCCAAGAGATGTGAGCAAACTTTTATTTAAACTTCATTTTATTTATAATTTTTTCATTGTAGGTTTAATATGGATTTTTTTTTTTTTTTTTTTTTTTAGTTTTTACTGGATATCGCAAGGCAGAAAAATCAAACTCCTTTACCTCTGATTAAGCCATATGCAGGACCCAGACTGCCACCTGACAGATACTGCTTAACATCTCCAAACTATAGGCTGAAGTGCTTCATTAGAAAGGTAAAAATTTTTGGTCAATTTAGTTTTTCAAAAAGTTGAGATGTGTTAGGGGAATTTGTAAAAAGCAAGTGCCTATAGATAGTGCAGTAGATTAAAAGCCAAGATAATTGTCCTTGCCAGTTTGGTCACATCGGCCTGCTGACCAAAGGGTCTCCGGTTCAATTCCCCATCAAAGGGTACATGCCTAGGTTGCAGGTGTGATCCCCGGTCCAGGTTGGGTTCATGATGTGGAGGCAACCAATCAATGTTTCTCTCCCCCTCTCTCTTTCTCTCTCCCTTCTTCTCTTCCACTCTATCTAAAAATCAATGGAAAAGTATCCTCAGGTAAAGATTACAAAAAAAAAACCCTGAAACAATTGAATTTACTAGGGTTTTTTTATAATTTACTGCTTTGAAAATACCATGTCTGCAGTGAGCTGCTATGTTAAAATACAAAATATGAGATCTAAGATTTTTAGAGCTCAAAGGAGCTTCAGTGTTCATCTAAACCAACACTTATTTTTCACATCTAAACTTATATATGAAGTTAGTAGCAAAGCTAAGTCTGATACTCAGGTCTCATAATCCCCAATCTTCCCACTATACCATAGTTTTTTTTATTAATTTTTTTTATTGATTTGAGAGAGGAAGGGAGAGGGAGAGAAACATCCATGAGAGAGAACATCGATTGGCTGCCTTCTGCATGCTCCCCACTGGGGATCTGACCTACAACTTGAGCGTGTGTCTTGACTGGGAATCGAACCAGTGTCCTCTTGGTACATGGGTCGACGCTCAACCACTGAGCCACACTGGCCAGGCTATACCATAGTTTTTTAGTGAATGCTGATAATACACCATCAGGAATTAGACTTGCTTTCTGAAATATGACCTAAGGCTCTCCCTCCACTGAAAAAGTTCTTCCCACATGGGGCTGCTTTTGATGTCTGTAATTCCACTATAAGAGTTTCTTTTGGGGGGGTTAGATGTTCACTAGTTAAGATTAAAAATTATAAGGAAGTTAGCTGTTTTTCTCAAATAAGACTATCTTAAACCAAATACTAGCCTGGCTGATGTCGCTCAGTGGTTGAGTGTCGACCCATGCACCAAAACGTTGCTGGTTCGATTCCCGGTCAGGGCACATGCCCAGGTTGTAGGCCCGATCCCCAGTGGGGGGCATGCAGGAGGCAGCCAATCGATGTTCTCTCTCATTGATGTTTCTATCTCTCTCTCTCCCCCTCTCTCTCAAATCAATAAACAAAATAATTATTTTTAAAATACTATATAGAATTTTATATACGTACATACATGTATACTTATATATTTATGCAAACCCTAGTTATGTTAGATTTAGAACACTAATAGAACAAAAGAGGACATTCTTGCCACGGATTATCATAATTCACATCAACAATCCTAATTTCATTCCTGCTAAGTTTGGGTGTCAAATCTGAACAACATTAAAACTAATTTGTTAAATTCCCTAGGGACCTAATCAAGGAAGACTAATTCCACGGTTAAGTGTTGGTGCTGTTAGCAGCAGACCTACCACTCCTACTCTAGGTAAGTGAGAAAGGGAAATGCCTCTTCTGGGTGGTAAAGAAGTGCCTCAGCACTTGATTTTGAAATATAATCCAAGTCAAAAGGTGAGTCAGAAATTCCCATGTGTGTTACCATCATTACATTTACTCATCCCCTAATAAAGCTATAGGCATAATATTTTATCAAATTTCAAAATGAAAAAGCCACAAGGAATATCTGATCCCAAATGAGCATAAATATGGACATTAACCAACCTTGTTGTTGGTATCAACTATAATACCAAAAACTGGAGTTTAAGCTGTTCTTTCTGCCTTCCATACAGATGACATTGCCAAACACACCCATGGCAATAGCCAAATTATTATCAGAGATTAAAGAAATGTCTGAATAAATTGGCAACAGAATGCAGTCAGAAGAGTTTTAAAATGTATAGAAAGCTTAAGGATATCAGGAAAAAAAAACATTCTGTTTTTAATAATAACCTTTTCAAAAGTAGTGTTGATTGACCTATATTGGCCCCTTCATCTGTGCCTTCCCATCATTCTTGGGCATTTCTTGCTCTCTGGCACAACATATTCCAAACTCATCTTACATTTCTACCCCAGTCCTAGAATCAGCCATTTCTCCAAAGAGCTCTGGTGCCTTTTAGTGGAGTATGGTATTTAGCAACCATTATTTGTATCTTGTTAATGTCATTGTTTAGGTAATAAGGAGATATATAAATAATGGATTTCAATTTCCTAATTTTTTTTGTCCTAAATTCTTGCTGGATTTCTTTCACAGAGTATTTTCAGAAAAAAATTTCACTTCTCATTGATCAGTATTGATTTTTGGCTTTTATGGCTTATATCTTATGTCCTGTAGATATCATATAGCTCTAGTGTAAGCATTTTATTTTTGAGGTGTGTAGATAATCTCTCCATATTCTCAGGATGTGCATAGACATTTTAGCATTTTCAAACCAGCTTGGTTAGTATTACTTGTACACTTCTAATTAACTGCATGTGACCTCTGTGGACAGAAATTTGAATATATAATTGATGTAACTTTTTGGTCATACACTATCTGTGGATTCATATTAGGTGAATACCAATTTTTTTTTTTAAGTCTAGGCTGTGGTAATCAGTTGCACGTGTTTTTGGCAAACTAATTTTAGTTATTAGCTGTGATTTTTATTCATAGTTAAATCACTTCTCAGACTTTTTTATAAGATCAGTAGTGTAATATTCCTAGTTAGACATTTTTATTGTACATGTTTTTTTTTAAATCTATAATTGAGGGAGCTGCTAAAAACTATTAAAGTTGCAAATTTTCAACTTTAAAATATTTTTCAATGAATTTTATAACACGAGACCAAAGCAACTACCTTTGTTGAATTTTAAAGCCTAAACTCCATACTTACTTAAATGTTAACAATTCCTTATAGTAATGACCAAGAAAACCACCTATGTACTGTGAATTTTCTTGACAAATAAGATATATTGATTGCTTCATTAAACTTCACCAAATTCTTTAGACCACTCCTTAATACATGAGAAAACTTACCTAGGGATGAAGATATATTAGAGTAAGTTCTTACTTCGTGGGTTTGTGAGAGAAAGCACTAGAACCCTGATTTCTGGGTACTTTGGGGCTTTCTTCCCCCATTAAGGCTTTCTTCTCCTTTATCCCTGGAGATGATGACAGTTGTAGTTTTTCTTCAATGATAGTTGTTTTCAATAACTCTATCCCTGGACAGACTACTGGTTCCAGGGGAAAGGGATATATGGAAAACCTTTGCATCCCCAAAGGAAAAACTTGGAATGTACATGTTTCCAAAAATGCATTTTTTCAGAGAGTTACGACATCAGTATACATGCTAAATCTTTGAGTCTTGCCATATTAATTCATTAAGCAAACATTTGTTGACTGCCTGTTAGGAACAAGGCACAAAAGCCATGTGCTCATAGGATAAAAAAGGTTATCTGAGGCTTGTAATTTAGGGAACAATGTAAGACACTAATAATAAGGCCCCTACAAAATAGTAGGGGAATTTCAGAGGCAGGTAACAACTTTTGAAATAAAAAAATTTATAAAGCGAGATGGTATTTAAATTTTACCTTGTATTAAAAGGTTGAATTTAAATAAGGGGCACTGGACTAGGTTATCTCCAAGATCCCTGTCTACTTAAAAAAATATCTGGATATGGAAAAAGAATATTTTTGTCCTGAAGGCTTTTGTTAAATGCATGCTGATTTAGCTTCATGGGCATAGTAGATATCTTCTAGTTCTCAGCAAATGACAAAGATTAAAAGTGCCATGTAGGGTAATTAATAGAAAACTTTGGTCTTTATTCTGCTAATTTATCTAAACACTTCCCTTGATGACTTCCTGTCACTAAAATTCAGTGCCAGTCGCTGCTTGAATAGCTTTACATGAATTATTTTAATTCTCACAAGAATCCTATTAAATAGGTACTGTTGTCCCCATTTGAGGATGACAAGAGATACAAAAAGATTAAATACTTGCCCAAGGACACCCAGCTAGGTGATGAAAGCCTGGATGCAAATACAAGCAGGTAGGCCCCAGAGCCTACATTTTTTACCACTATGCTACTGGTTTTAGCATCGAAACTATTGAGCTTGTAAACACTTTTGAAGTTATTTCACTCTTATTTCTAATGATTTTTTCCTCACCTTTTATTAGTTCCCTGTGCTTTAAAGGTAGTTTCTGGTAAGCTAAGGAGGGCAGAATATGAACCTGTATAATAAGTCATCTAACTAACATGGTCTGTTAATTGCAACTACAGCAACCCCACAAACGGTGTCTGTCACAAATAAAGTGGCACCTCCAGTGTCAGTGACAAGCCAAAGATTTGCGGTGCAGATTCCACCTTCTCAGTCCACACCTGCCAAACCAGGTAACGTCGTGGGGTCGGGGGTTGTGGTGTTCTAAGTGGTTCTTTTAAAAATTTTTTTTTCTGAGTTTTAAAATTTCTGAATAATTTGTTATTATAGAACAGTTTGTGTTCCCATAGCAAGAGTTAAATTGTTTTAATAGCATAAAAAGAAGGTGGCAGTAATGCTGCAGAACTTCAGAGTGGGGTCTATGAGCCAACTAAAAGTATATGAAAATGTAAATATATGTAACATTTGGGGATTAGGGAGAGGATTCAGTGTGACCATCAGATTCTCAGAAAACACTGTGAACTAAAATAAGTTAGGGCCCACAGATCTAAGGCATCTTCAGGGAAAAGCACTTGGGGTTGAAGCTCAAGAAAATAATATGACTTAGTGAATATCAAAAGAAAAGTATACCTTTACTCACTTCATGGAAGACATATGAAGTTGGAATAATATAAGTAGAATTCGTTATGGCATAGCTCATTAATGCATATGCTTAGATTTACATCTTAAACTTAACCACACACAGTAAACGATTTATATAAAATATTGGCCTACAGTCGTCCCTCGTTTATCGCGGTTAATACGTTCCAGACTCTAGCGGTTGCACCTGGCATTGAAGGCTTCCTGGGGTGCTCGGATACATAGGCCTACAGTCCATACGTACAGTAATTTTAATTTTAATTGTAATTCAGGGGTGTATAATTGACTCAGACAACCGAGCACTCGCTGTATCATTTTCACTGTCTCGATCAACTTTGTAATGAATATATTTGAAAAAACTGCGATAGAGTAAAGCCGCAAACAGTCGAGCGCGAAGTAGTGAGGGATGGCTGTATAAGGCAGCGGTTCTCAACCTCTGGGTTGCGACCCCTATGGGGGTCGAGCGACCCTTTCACAGGGGTCGCCTAAGACCATCAGAAAACACATATTTCCAATGGTCTTAGGAACTGAGACATGGCTCCTCTATCGTTTCCAGGCGGGTCCGCCCACATGCAGATACGCCCACATATAACATGAGGAGCTGTATTAAAGGGTCACAGCATTAGGAAGGTTGAGAACCACTGGTATATGGGAAGCATGATTCTTTACCTTGTACATATATACCTTTAGTGTGTATGATGAATCCAGTGCACTGCTTCCCATGACTAAGTACTAAGTAAAATTTGAAGTAGTTAAAATTTTTTAGAAACAGAACTCCTTTAATCTTATACTAGATACTAGTTTAAGTATTTAAAAATTTAATTCAACTTTTAATGCAGTAATAATTACCTAAGTTTCTTCTATAATGTAGATGCACTTCATGCTATTGAAATTATTAGAATTACACTCAACTCTGGGGAATACTTTTTATCATATGTTTCTGATCCTGGGTAATTCACAGCGTGGGGGTGTTTTCTCTTCTGTTTACAGTTCCTGCAACAACTGCAGTTCAGAATGTTCTGATTAATCCTTCAATGATTGGACCTAAAAATATTCTTATTACCGCCAACATGGTTTCATCACAGAACACGACTAATGACTCAAACCCATTGAAGAGAAAACATGAAGATGATGATGACAATGATACTATGTAAGGAAAATAGTCTAGATACATTTCAGATGCCTAGTTGGTTTTGAGCCCAAGTACTGAACTAGAACATTCTAGATCTCCTCAAGTTTTATCTCAGAAAACTTAAAGGTAGCTGCAGTATTTTTCATATTCATGTGAACTGTTAGATTTCTTAAGTACGGTTGCCAGTGTTTTTTCATTAGGCTTCAAATAGAAAGAGTTAAGCACTCGTTTAATAGTTTCACTTATGTTGAGTCCTAGTATGGCAATTCTATTTTTGGAAGCAGTTTTCTGCCATGTATCACTGACTGCAGCACTTACGGTTCAGTTTCTGCAGCCTGATCAGTGAACTAATTTTTAACAGCATTTCTAATCTACATTCAAATGCTACTTTTCTTTTGTAAGATAAAATAGTCACTTTTATTGCCACCAACTTTTATAAACAATTCTCTCATTTAGTGAACATTTTTGGAGAGGATGGATTTAGAGGGATTCTCAATCCATTTTTGAATGTATTTAAATTGTTTCTGGCTGCTCCCTAATCTCCTACATCCTCAACCCTGTTTCTAGCTCCCATTCGTTTTCTGCACCAACTCCTCCCCATAGGCTTAAGTTTCTCCCCATTGCTCTTAACTTTAAAAGGCCAAAACTGGAATTTAAAAAGTATCATTCCTGATCACTCATCTTAGTGTCATTTTCATATTTTTAAACCTATTTTCTGTGCCTGCTGTTCTACAATGAACTTTAATGTGAATGTTTCCATTTGCTTTTTCCCTCCATATCAGAGCAGTTGTCTTATCCCTTGCCTTTTTAAAAAAATTTTTCTTTATTGATTTTAGAGAGAGGAAGGGAGAAGGAGAGAGAGACAGACAGACAGAGAGACACTGATGAATGAGAACATCAACTGGTCGCCTCCTACATGCCCCCCACTGGGGATCGGGCCCACAACCTGGGCATGTGCCTGACCGGGAATTGAACCGGCGACCTCCTGGTGCATGGGTTGATGCTCAACCACTGAGCCACACCGGCTGGGCTTATCCCTTGCCTTTTATGCCCCTTGAACTTTACTTTGCTTTTGATAGGTAGTTTTGGGTCAGTTACATCCAGTTTCAGTCTTTTATCCCAAGCTGATAACTCTACCATATTTCACATTTCCAAATTTAACATAGATGATGCTATAGCTTAAAACCTGCCTTGATAAGTATATTTACACTGGACCTAGGCAAAACCACTGAAGAACAAGTTTCTTCCTTTTTAACCACATGCATATATGCTTTCATCACTACTGCTTGAACCTTCCTCCTATTGGTATAATTCAGATCATTTTTCTAGCTTGTTGCTGAGGACGTCACACTTAAGATGGGATCACACCTGAAAGTTTTCTAATGGTTTTCCTTCCTCTAGAAGGCCAGCAACAAAAACAAATTGGTGTGTGATGTGAATTGCACCTAGATATACTCTGCATAGATTTCCAAATAATGTTACTAAACACCTTTCCTTTTTTTCCATTTACACACATCTAAACACCTTGGGAAAGACTGCAAAGTTTTCAAAAAAAATATAAACTGGTTTGTACAGTTTCTATTTAAGTAAGTCTGACATATTCAACGTAGGAGTACTTTTGCATAATTTTCTGAAGTGAATGTTCGTATTTGAGGATTTTCAAAATTTAAAATATGAGTAAGTTTCATCTTAGGATGCTGCTCAGTACATCGGAGAGAAATAGTCCAGTAATGGGGAAGAAATGTCTCATCATATTTTGAGTGATTTTGGATGTTAGGAAAAGGTGGTATCAAACCTATAAAAACAGATCTGATCAACATGATAGGAGAGAAATGTTCATTATCATTACTTGAATGTTCTCAGGGAGGCAGCATGTCAAAAGGCCCAGGTTCTAGTCCTGGCTCCATCCTTTATCAACTCTGTGACCTTACTTCACCTCTGAGCCTTGTTCTCCTCACTAGTAATAGAAAATAACACAAACCCTGCCTACCTCACAGGGATGTTGTGAGGGTTTAATTGTTACATGTGAAAGTTCTTTCATAATTGTAAAATGCTGTAAAACTAAGGAATTGTTAATGTATTTGTTCCAAGATTATTAATAAAATATTTGACCTTATCATTTATCTTTCCTTTTTGACTTAAGAGATTCAAGGAAGATGGCCCTGGCCAGGTGGCACAGTTGGTTGGAGTGTTGTCCTGTATACCCAAACATTGTGGGTTCAATTCCCAGTCAGGGCACATACCCAGGCCGTGGGTTCGATCCCTGTTTGGGGCTCATGCAGGAGGCAACCAAAAGATTTTTCTCACATCAATGTTTCTTTCTCCCTCTCCCTCTAAAATAGATAAATGTATATTCTTGGGTGAAGATTAAAAACAGAGAGATTCAAGGTAGATGAACAAGGCCCAGTCATTCTGAGGTCCAAAAAGCAATTAAGATTTAATGGATGAATTAATGGTAAATCATGGAACTGCTTGCTTTTATTTAGAATCAGCATACAACTTAGAGTGAAGCAAAATAAAAATGAAAAAAGGTTTACATCTGTTAAAAACATAACATGCTGTGTCTTTGATGGGAATTTGTATATGTAATTAACTGTTCAGTCACTTACTTGGTCAGCCCGTGGGTGGGCTGCTCTTTCAGATGAAGACCACTTTACCGGGCTCATCTCCCTGCCCTAACCATGTCCACCTAACCTAGCTTCAAGGATGACTTAAGGAAGCTCTTGTCCTTCAGCTTCCAGGTAGAATTGTTAAAAAGAGGTATTGATGGTAATTGGGGTGAGGACATTGTTGCCCCAATTCTTTACAAGTAGGAAACCAGTGTCATATTTGAGCATGAATATAGGAATACAGTCAGCATGCAGGAGGATGGAAGATAAAGGTACATTGTGATCTAAGGAGTCCAGAGTGAAGGGAAGGGAAGTAAGTACTTAAGAGGTAAGAAAGAAAACACTAATCAGAACAGCAGGTACCAAGTTGTATATAATATGCCACCATATGTATTTTAATATATTTATATGTATATACACACCTAGATATGCTTTTTATATGCATTAAGTAGCTCCAGATTGAAGGAAACCAGTCTTACAGTGGTTATTTCTAAGGAGGGAGACTGGCAGGGAACAGATAGGAAGGAGTCTTCTCCTGTCCCTCTTCTCTTCTTGACTTTTTTATCATGTGCTACAGGGAAGGTTTGGACAGAAGAAAGAAAAAGAAGGGAAGCAGAAAACACTGAGCCAAAGAAGAGACTGAATTCGTTTATGACATGAAGAATATAACCCTGTTTCTGTATAGAGGCATGCATATATTGTCGAAGGGTTGAAAGTGAATTTGCTACACTTAAGCCTAAACATATGCCATGTTTTATCAGTAATTCATAATTCTTTATTATATCAGGAAGCACATTCTTACACTATTCTAGTTTATATGCTCATAAATTGTCCTCCTCAATAGGTTGTAAATTCTAGGTTGTAAATTCCTTCAGGACATAAATGCTATCTTATATTCCCTCCATTATGTCCAAAGCATAAATCAGGTACTCAAATATTTGCATTTCCCCATTCATTCTCTGGATTAATGACCCAAATAAATGGGGGGAAAACCCTGAAAGCAGAGTCTAGTGGAAAGTATTAAAAGGTACAATCAGATTGATGGATGAATTGGCAGTTAGAGTTTAAGTGCTAGGTTTATGGGTGTTTACAATTTTTCAATTCCTCTATACATTTGAAATAATAAAATATTGGGGGAAAGGTAATCAGAAGGGGGAGGGTCATTAGTATGCCAAAATTCTAGCCCAGCTGTGACATTAATTGGCTGGATCTATGGGAAGCATCTCTGGGCCTCATCTACAAAAAGAAGATTGGACTAGAATTTCTGCTTCTCAAATCAGGGTACAGCATAGCATTAGAACTATGCAGAAACATGGTGTATTTTAAAATTAACTACAAGTATAGGGAAAGTATTAATTACAATATAAATACATTTTTAAGAAAAAAATTTGAGCCCTAAAATTTTTATTTTGTTTAAAAAAGCCACCAAAATTTTCTTTTGTGTGTTTTCTCCAGTGCTAGTCCAGAAGCATCATTTCAGGGAGGCACACGTGAAAAATCTCAAGTCTTTGGAGTCGAACGAACCTGGACCTGACTACCTGCTGTTATTTACTAGCTCTGTGATCCTGTCCAAGAGGTCAAATATTTTTTTTAATATTTTTATTTATTTTAGCGAGAGAGGAAGGGAGAGGGAGAAACATTCATGAGAGAGAACATCGATTGCCCACCTCCTGCATGCCCCCCACTAGGGACTGGGCCCGCAACCTGGGCAAGTGCCCTGACTGGGAATCGAACCGCTGACCTCTTGATGCACCTCAACCAGTGAGCCACACCGGCCAGGCATGTCCAGTATTTCTTTATTCATAAAGGTGAAATACATATGTAGTATATAAAATTCCCAGCAAAGAAATTCTGGTTAAACATGGCCTTTTGAAATTGCATGTTTACCTCTGCTCACTCCAGAAATCCTATTAAAATGACAGGATAGGAAAAGGACGGGAGAATTGCAGAGACAATAAAAGAATCAGAATGTCATTAGGATCACTTCTTGGTCATTAGATTTTCAGCAATGACAATGAGACAAAGCCTTCACATCTGAGAAATTTTCTAAGCTGAAATTCTGCAGTCAAATGGACAATATAAGGTTTGAAAAAATCAAGTCTTAGAGATTTTGCCTCCCAGGCACTTTCTCAGGAAGCTAGTTGGGAGTCTTATGTTTCATAACAAGACTAAACCAAGAAAGAGTGGGGAAAGGGAACCCAGGAAAGGGGGGATATGACACAAGAGGTGAAAGGAAACCCCAAGAGGGTTACCTAGAGGGCAGCCAAGATAAACTGGAATGGGAGCACAGAGAACTCCTCCAGCAGGGACATCTCTAATAAGGTGTTCTGTTATGGTTTGTTTCATGGGAACATTTTTTTTTAATTAAAAAATAAATAAATAGAAAACATGAAAATTTAGGCAACTGGACCTAAGTTGTTTTTTTTTTTAAACATAAAAACAAATCTTAGCCCTGGCCGGTTTGGCTCAGCGGTTAGAGCATCGGCCTGCGGTCCTGAGAGACCCAGGTTCGGTTCCTGCTAAGGGCGCGTACCTCAGTTGCAGTTTGTCCCCGGCCCTGGTCGGTTGTGCAGGTGGCAGCCACTCAATGTGTCCCTTCACATCGATGTGTCTCTCTCTCTCTCTCTGTTCCTCTCTTTCCCTCCCACTCTACCTGAACAAAAAATGGAAAAATGTCCTCGGGTGAGGATAAAAAATATAAAAAAATAAAAAATAAATCTTAGACTTAGTAGATATTTGTTACAATAAAAAACATATAACTTTGTTCCACCCTGGCCAGTGGGACTCGGTTGGGCGTCATCTCATGCATCGAAAGGTTGCCAGTTAGATTCCCATTCAGGGCACATGCCCAGGTTGTGGGCTCGATCCAC